TTTGTTATTTTTCTTCGTTATCTGCAGTATCGGTTAAAAACCGTTACGTTATCATCTGTTGTTCGTATTTTTGACACACACACACACACACACACACACACACACACACACACACACACACACACACACACACACACACACACACACACACACACACACACGTACGCACGCATGAGCACTTTAAATCCCTACGTTATCTTCTCCTTATAGTTATAGTTGAATGGCTACCTCACCCTTTTCAACGACGCCAGAAATAATATTCTAAATCATTGTTATGGCGACCATTATGATTACATAATTTTCATTATATTATGGGAACTGTGTTCAAATTACAATTAATAATACCAAATATTTTGGTACTGACGATGACAGCGTTGGATATCATATCGACAGCTGCTAATGAATATTACTGTAACCAAAATAATGATATGAAAAGGCTTCAAAATAATGATAGCGATAATAAAATAGCAGTGATCATAACAAGCAAAACTTATATTTAAAACAACATTAAAGTAATTGAAAAACATGTATATAAATGGTAAGGACATTGGTAATTAAAGAAATATAATAATGAAAATAATGATAATGATGATGACGGCGATGATAATCATGATGATGCTAAAAATAATTATAATAATACCCCCCCCCCCCCTACAAGACGGATCACCCCCAACCACGGACCTCATTCCCACATCAACTAATTTTGCATGTTTTTTTTCTTCTCCCCCTTTCCCTTTCCTTCTTTTTTTCATTCACTTCTGTCCACTTATCCTAATCGTTAATTCATTTTTACCTTTTTTGCCATAATGTTATCATCATACTGTTATATGACCTTTAATATCTAGCACACTTATTTGTTTTAACCATTACTCAGTTACAATAATGATAATAACTCCTACCAATGCCATCTACTCTTTCCTTCAAGATGAAAATGCCTGGCATGAAGTTTGTTTGTCTCCTCATGGCCGCGGAACTGCTCTGGTCACCTGTTTCCTCCAGTATCTCGGTGCTAAGACTGAGTAACAGCACTGATTACTGTACACTGGCGAACTCTCACCTTAGCTGTGATTTTACTGGTGTTGATGAGGTAAGAAAAATATTGCTGTAAAAGTATTGTAATGTGGACTATGCTACCCATTTTGAATTTGCGAAAATGATTTTCCTCGGGTTTGGTTTCAGTCCATTTAATTTAGTGTCTAAGGATGGAAAGACACAATCCATTTATGAATCTTCTACAGTAGACTAATATCAAGTGATACGCAAAAGGCTCTTAGTGTATTATTCATTACTATATAATTGAATTAAGAATAGTATTTTTTAGCAATTCCATGCAGGCTACTCGTGTAAGCAATACTAACTAATGTATTTGATCTTGTGCCTCCAGCCAGTGTATGCTGAAGAAGGCTACTTGGAAAACATCGATTCTGTTGAATGTCGAGGACCACTTGTTCTCCATTTGCCTGAAAATGCTTGCATTAAGAATATGACAATTCAACATACAAAGAAAGTAGTGGTAACAGGGAGAAGCTGGAAGACAAGTTGCAATGAATATCACTTGTTTGTTAATAATACCACTATGACTGCCATACCTCTTACTACAACGCACCTCCATGCTGTGAGGTCAACCTGTTATAAAATGACACTGCATCCCAAAATGAAACACGTTTCCATCGTCAGCTCGCGGGTTTCATTCTTGACCACTGACCAGTTTCTAAATGACTCTGTTGTGGTGAATATAACAAACACCACAGTACATTACGTGAACAGCCTATCAGCATCTAAGAACGCGAAAATACAGTTTTTGGCAAGTGACATTGCATACATGCGACTAGACAGGACTGCACTTCAGGATAACGCTGCTCTCGTCATGGTCAACAGTAGAATCAGAGCAGGAGACAACCAGGAATTACTGGTTCCCCCGGGCGTCAGTGTAATACTGGATAGGCTAGATAGCAAACTTGAAATAAGGGCTATTGGCATAATTCCAGGATCAGAATCATCGCAGTCACCCGAATCATGCAATGGGATAAGCATAAAGGAATCTACTACACAATATTTTGTACAATTTGTATTTTTCTGCGCATCTACAGTATTTCTACTACTTGTTGTGTTGTTCATGTGTATCAAAATTATGACTACTTGTCTCCTGAAACGTTCTGTTCGGCAAATACCCGACAGTGTAGGCCACGAAAGGCAAATTAGACAAAACGGCAACACTCTAAGCGAGATATCTCTGAATGAGCTTTTTGAAAGTTCTGGAAATTTCTTGAACGAATCCTTTCTGCATGACCATGAAAAAACTGCAGAAGCCGATGAGAAGAAAGAACTCGAAAGACCCTACTGAGCCTGCATGTTCAACGCTTCTGCAAGCCTCGAAGAGACAAGTGAACGTTTAGGGAATTCTGGATAGCAGGAAAGTACAAACACACAAAACAACCTACTCTGCAAGATTAAGCTTTGATTTGGTATTACTGAAGGCAGCTCATATTTCAAACATATAATTGTCGGCGTTGAAACGTCGTGGAGTGATATTATATTAATACTGTCTTGCTTAATTGTACATCGAAAAAAATCATGCATGTAGTTCTGTAATGTCATACACTGGATTATTTATGTATTATTAGTGATTGCCCAGGTTTCATAGTGAATCATTACGTACCATTTATACGGAATAGAGGAGATACTGAGGGAGGTGCTCAGACATCTTGAGAAGATGGTAGGGGAGCGGAGCAAAGGAAAGCTTTGGAATAGGCAGATAGAGAAAAACCTCGCCGGCGTGTTTCTGTCCGGTCTCACGAAGGTGAAGCATAGTTTGAATCTGAGAACTGCTGCCTCAGATTCGAGCAGGGCGGCTCCTATGTTGTGGTGGGAGGCACCACAATTGGCACACGTGCGTGACTGGGCAGAGTAATTTAAACGGCCATGACCAGGTTGGGCTCATAGAGGGCAGCACGCTGTGGAGCGACAGTGTTTAGCAGGGCTTGACGCCACCAATATAAACTTCATGGGAAAGGCCATGTCTACAGAAGATAATCTTGACAATATCGGTATTGGCCTTACGCTGGCTTCAGGGAGGGATAGTGCAGCACTGTATTGATACTGTATCATGTAAGGCCTCCTTTGCAGTATCCCGAAACCCCTAACACTTTGATATATTGTTTCATGTTGTATCATCGTCTCTACAAACACGTTTAGTATCGAAGGTTGTATTGGTATACATTATTTTGTTATTTTTCATAAGAAAACCATTAAAGAACTTGATATGCTGGTATGTTTTTTAATTACAAGCAAAGCATTGTAGACGCCTCAAATAAGATGGAAAAAAGTACCTAACTAATGGCATTAATTTATCTAACTGATTTAATCATATCAAGAAATCAAGATATGCAACATTTTCTCTGACATTTTCGAGCCTGACGTTATATCATAGAGCTTATGGAATGATTTTGAAGACATACACCCCACCGAAGTCAATACCACGTCAAATGACTCGGACATGGGAAATTCTTATCATGACGCGCGATAAGCACTATATATACCCTGTAACGAATCAAACGTGCAAAGGGACGCGCGTGGCTTCATTATCACAACTTGAATTCTCAGGTTTGTGTTTCTTGACTTTATTATACTATTTATCTGCAACGAATCGTGTATACATTTCTTGCAATAACAATGTAAATCATACTCTTTGTTTTAGTAATTACATCAACTATAAGAATTCAGTGAAAATTAACACAATAAAAGTCAATCATCTTCAACAGGCATTATCCACCATGATGTTAAAGGTGCATATTCTTACCGCCATGATAAACACGTCTACATTCTTCATTCTGGTGGCACTAGGAGACGAGATTTTCGATATCCCTGCGAAAGTTTCACTACATTCACCTTTTTGTACTTTCACACGACCGACGTTACGTTGTGATTTTCGTGGGAATGAACAGGTATGTTTACTTAATTTTCTATTTATTATTATTTTTTTAAGTACGACAGTAAATTTACTTTAGGAAATGTATAATTTCTGACACGTTTGGTTAACTGTGACCTAAGTTATACCATATTCAAACTTTTTTTGGGGTGATAAAGAAGTAAAAGGTAAGACTGCAATATATACAAGTGTGTTTGTGTGTAAACATATATATATATATATATATATATATATATATATATATATATATATATATATATGTATATATGTATGTATATGTGTTTATGTATACACACGCACACACACACACACACACACACACACACACACACACACACACACACACACACACACACACACACAAACACACATACAAACAAACAAACACACACACATACACATACATACACACACATACATACATGTTAAGTATTTTTACATATCTACACACACACACACATATATGATTATATATATATGTATATATATGTATATGCATATATATATATATATATATATATATATATATATATATATATACCTACATATACACATATATGTATATATGCATAGATTTATTTACCCTGTATATGCAAATCTGCACACCCATTGACCGAATGTGAGTGCGTGTGCATTCTTGCATACGCACATCGCCCGCGTGCGCGCACACACGGATTTGCATATTCTGGGTAAGTCAAACCTAGATATGGTAGTAGGTGATATTACTTAACCACCTACCTCTCTGGTGAAGAATCATGATGTCAACATGACGCGAAACATCGGTGCTGGTACAAATGTGCATATGTATACACACACACACACACACACACACACATATATATCGATAGATAGATATATGCACACGCACATCGCACACACACACACTTATATGTATATATGTGTGTGTGTGTGTATTTTCATATATATATATATATATATATATATATATATATATATGTTTATATGTATATATATGTATATATGTGTATGTACATATATATGTATATGTATGTGCGTGTTATATATCCCATTGGTGCCGGGTATGACGTGTACGTACGTGCTATGCCCACCG